TGGGGGCCAGGCACGGCTACGGCCACCCGAGCCTCGATTGCGGGGATCGTGAGGCAAGGCCCCAGTGCAGGCAGGGGTTCGCGAGGCAAGGCCCCGGAAGTTAGGGTGCACCGTGTCACCGAAGGCAGGGCACGGACTGGGACATCTCAAGGCCCCGTGCCAAAGAGGGTAGAAAGGCAGCCTCCCTTTAACAGTATTACCATCAAAGATGTGATGGGCGAGATAGCGAAGGTGCATTGAACCCGATTTTGGCACGGTAGGTAGGGGGCGCTAGGGGAGTTCACGGCACCCCTAGGTCATGTCCTGCCACAATCTACTTACAGTGATACGTGTCTATATTACCTTCAGGTATCTTAATACACTCGACTCAAGGTAACTGCACTGGCTCTCAGATAACATTTTGACAAGCATAATATAGGAACCTAGATTTACAGCTCTTTCAACAGGCTGTAGCATATCTTACAGGCATATCCAAATAAGAGCACATCACACTAGTATTCCAAACACACTAGTACTTTTCTGTCTGCTGTCTTCAGATTTTATACTGCCATTCATCACCAAAGTATCCAAGCACTTTTCACCTAAAATCAATAGCAATAGTGAAATCCTTAGTTAGTTTCATGAATTTTCTGGTAGTTCTTACATTTTTTTCCGTAAAATCTCTACTAAGAGAAGGGCCCTTGTTTTTTGATTGGCTAGAAAAAGAGTGGCTGTGCCCTCCTAATCGTTCTTGAGAAGTGACCTAAAATAAAGGAATAAGGATCGAGATGTATCTGATGCATCCTAATATGTACATATGGTGATAGGTGTTTTAGAAAAGCGAGGGAAGAATACTGAGACAGCATACTTCAAATACACTTTCAAACTAACACTGAACAAAACCCATCTGTGCTGCGACACTGGATTGAGAAAATAATCATCTCGCCCTCCACCCCCCTTTCCAATTCCCTGCAACCAAGTCTCTTAATCTGCTTGCCAGTGGCTATCCAGAGTGGAAAGGAGAGACAAAGGAGAGATAAGAGAGAACAGGAAGAAAATAAAAAGCCTAGAAAATAATAGACCAACTTCATAATAATTCATGGCAAATAGGTCTCTACTTACTTCAGATTATATTGGGAAGAGGATCCAGTGGAGGTTAAAAGGAAATCACTTTAAGGATTTTCTATTTAAATAGTTTGCATTTATTTTGTATATTGTCAGTTATTTCTGATTTAAGAATAAATGGAAAAACAAAGGAGAAGTGATTTTACAGTAGGGAAAAAATGCTGTACAGAAGTCAACCGGCACCACAAGACTGCTAAAAGCTTAAAAGATTTTACTGCTTTTGTCAAATTTAGTGATTAGAGAAAGCATCACAGGCAAGCATAAGAGAACTAGGGTTAGTAAAGTCCATTTATTCCAGGCATACACCAAATGAGAAAGCTCTTAAGCCAGAGCCTTCAGTTCCTATCCTTTCTATGAAAGCCAACCAATAATTCTGGATCCTGCATATGTTTGAAAAATCACAATTCTACCTTTCAAATTCGTATTCTCTTTGATCTTTGCAAAAAAACACGTCATCGTTATACAAAGCAGCAAGGATTTCTATATCAGGAATTCTTGCTTTCACTTGTTCGTATCTCCATACATTGCCTTTAATCTTCTGTTTAATGTTAGAGCAGATCTCCTGAACATTTTTCATCTGTATCTGTTGCACAGCTACTTTCAGATCTTATGCTTTGCCTCCCTAAGTAAATGTTGCCATCTTCCCTGACTGTCCAAAGACAGAGAAAGCAGCATAGATATGCACGTTTATAGATTAAGTAAATAAGATGCATATCTAGATCAGAAGCTTTCATGAACCCAAGTTCATGTCATCAGATGCTGTGAAAGGACAGCATAGAGCAGAGTAGAAAGTGGAGTGAGTAATTACAACACAATAGGTGGGAAACCAGTGGAGAGAAGAGGGGGGGCAGAGGAGGGGAAGTACTGTGAAAGGCATACAAGCAAAGAACCCATAGGAATAAATGAGTACCAAAAATTAATTCAAGTAATGAGAAAAAAGTGCATTGCCCCCAATTAAACCAAACTTAGCCCAGTTTGTGGGTGATTTCTTGTTCCTCATTTTCCTGTTCAAAACTTATAAAAATGTTTTCTGCATGAGAACAGGAATCCTGAGGTCAGTGATGGAGTGTCCAGGCAAGTTGAAGCGTTCTCTTCCAGGCTTTTGTGTCTTTCTGCAGCCGATGGCAGGCTGGTATTCATTCCTTATTACATGTAGAGATAACCCTGTCGGTCTGACAGAAACAGCAGATGGGCATTGTAAGCAGGTAATGCCATACATAACATTGTTAGAGCTGCGGGTGTATGAATCTCCGGTGCTGTACTCCTTGTTATTAGGTCCAGTGATGATGTGGTCTGTATTGATGTGGGGACACAGTAGGCATTTGGGTCTATTGCAAAGCCTAGTGCCTTGATGAGGATGAGTGTTAGTCTGTTGCTTAAGAGGTGTCATTTGAGGTTAGGGGGCTGTCTGCAGGCCAGGACAGATTTAACCCTAGTGGCTATCTTGAGATGCACATCTTTCTGTAGGAGTGTTTGAAGGTCATTAGTGATGCATCTTAGGTGTTCAAGCTGGGGACTGCGGATGAAAACCAGAGAGATTCTGTTGTCCTTGTGCCACGGTTGGTATAGTAGCAGGTCTGAGTCTAGCGTTCTTGATTTGAGTAGGTATAGTTCTGGGATTGTATTGTTATTGTAGGAATCCCTGCTCCAGATCCTTAAAGGGTACATTTCAGTCAGTGGGATCACAGCAGATCCAGCTGTAACATAAAGCTTGACTGTAGAAAATGGATCTACTGGTGTGCTTAGGGTGAAAGCGAGTGGCATCAAGGTTGGTGGCTGGTTCGTTTCCAATACAATGTAGTGGCAATGTGTTCATTGCAAACCTTCACTGTAGCGTCTAGGAAATGAATTTGCTGCATGGAGTATTGCAGAGTTAGTTTGATGGAGGCGTGGAAGTTATTAAAGACTTGAAATTTCTCTAGAGTTTCCTTCCCGTGTGCCAATATTATGAAGATGTCATTGATGTACCTCAGGGAAACCAGAGGGATGGGAGAGCATCTGTGGAGGAAACGAACAAAGACTTGGCAAGGAAAAAATTGCCCTTGTTAAAATCTGTTTTGGATTTCAGAATTTTCTATACAACTTTCAGTCAAATAATAGTACTGACAGTGACAAAAAAACCCCAGAAAACCCTATGCAACATAAACCTCAAACACAAAGGAAAGAGCAAGAATAAAAAAGCAAAAGGTTGAATTATTTTAGTGACTTCAGCAACTCATTTATGCCTCATTTATTCTTCATCCCTTAGCCCACAACTCTCTTTTACATTCTTTTCTAATGTATTTTTATTTTCTTTTCTGGTCTAAATACTTGCCACATAATTTTTCCTAGAGACGTTAATTAATTCTTTATAGCGTCCGCTTTTGACCATGCATTTTTAGTATGCAATGTTCATCCTACTTCATGCAGTCAAGGTTATCGGCTGAGTCTGCCACAGCCTACCTTCTTAACATCTTCTTGCATTGCTCTGTAATTAGCGTTCAGACATACAATAGAATGCAGACATTTTCATTTGCAGAAGAAAGATGGTTTTTTAAACACTGTTTCTCTCATTTCATTTTTAATTTAAATGTGCTTTTGTCTTTTTCTTTCAATAATCTAATGTTCTAAACCTTTTAGCTGTTTGTGATCTTGAAGGAAATGTTTGCTAAGTGCTTTAGGATGCCTGGGTACATGCTAAGTCTGTAGAAAAAAATGAAGGTTGTTATTATTGTTGTCATGCTGCTGATCTACTGCTTATTTACCCTCATTATAATGTCACACTCACAACTCCATTGTTAAGGTTATGTCAAACTTTCTAGTATAAAACCCTATTTTTAGTCTTAGAACTTGTCTATGAATGTATCATTCTATGCTAAAACACAGCATGTAATGTCTCACCTTGAACAAAATTTGGAAAATCTGAAAAGATATCCAAGTCTTTGAAGACTGAAGTGTAAATTGGAGGTAAAAAAAGTGTCTAGAATGATCTCTGTTATCTATCAGTTATCTAATATAAGGAACACACCACGGGGTAATGTGCTTTAATGAATACCAATAAAACTTTTATATCACATGTCACTGTCAGACAGGTACTGAAGAGAACTATTCCTCTGATTTTAGCTACCTACTCTCTGTAAGCAATGAAATCTGATGAATGTAAATTATATAAACGTACACCAAAATATTTCAGAATTTGCTCTCTCATATTCACAAACATAACCTCTTGTTCTAAATTATTTTTAACACTGTTGTAGAGTTGTAAGAACTTATATAGGCTCGGTGTGATCCAGTTGTGGCTGTAGATTAGAATTCTTTAAACACTTTGAGAGAGCTTGAGATTTTGACTCGCAAAATAGCTCGCAATAATTAACTAGAGACATTGGACTCGACACAGAATTCAAATATGACCTTTCTGAAGACCATTATTGCTAGCATGACCCTTCCAACAATTTTGCTTTTGGTGTATCTTCCTGTTATTTCCATGGAGACGCATCTGGATTCAGGCAGGAAAAAAAAATGTGTTTTTTTTTTTTTTTTCCACATGAGAACAGTAATAAACCAATGCTCTGGTTTAGAATGATTGTTTGTAAAACAGGTGGTGTGCAGAAACAGTCATGAATGTTTCAATTTAAATGGGTGATTGTCTGAGATGGTCCCAAGTTTGGGACTATGGCAATCCCCAGGATAATCCCCGGGAGAGGACAAAAGTTATCTAAATGCGAGATAGCTGGTCCTTTGAGACTGAAATTTTGCCATGCAGGGGCATAATTTAAAAAGTTTGCACTCCAAGTACTGCAGGGGGAGAGGGAGTGAGCACATACCTCTTCGTGCAGGGGCTAGGTAGTGGTACAAGCTGCTGCAACTTCTACATAAGCTTCCTGAACATGACTGCTACAGCAGCAAGGACTTTCTGCAGACTGCCATTCTGGCACTCCCTCTGAATCAGTGCCCTGCTCAGGGCTGATGCATGCTCCTCCCCTGAGTTTACACTAGAAATACCAATGCCACTTTTGAGACAATTTTAAGGGAGAGACAGACAGACAGTTAAAGCCCTGTTTTCTGGCATCAGTGGGGAAATGGGGGGTGCTGGTAATCTAAAAATGCTGGTTACCTGAGGCACAGGGTTTTCTGGCTGCACAGGGGGGAGGAGGGACGAGGGTGGTGGCAGCCGCACATGGAGCGGCAGCAGCACAGGCTGGTGGGTGGTGGTGGCAGCGGCTGTGTGCAAGCTTCCCCTTCCCCCTCACCTCCCCCCACGTCTGGCCAGCCAGCTGGAAATTCCCATTAATAGAAATTCCAGTTAGTAAAATGCTGGATAACAGGGCTTTTAGTGCAGATAGAGAGACAAACACCTAAGATTGCTGAAATGAAGCAAGTCTCTTCCTTGGGCAGCATTCTCCCACAGCCCCGGTATGTGACCCAGGGGGTGGGGGAAGGGGGGCAGTGCTTGCCCAGCCTGAGTTGTGGGCAGTTGTGCCTATGACACAGGGCCAAAGGGGCCTGGGACCAGAGGCCCATGGCTTGGCATCATGATCGGGGCACTCAAAGTCCTTTGGCTGTATTCATCCAGGGACTGCTTCTGTTTCATACAGGTGAGCAGCTACTTGGCCAGGGCTTCACAGATCCAAACAGCCGGCTGCTGTGTGGAGCCAAGGTCACCAGCATCAGTGGAGGTGGGAATTCAGGAATCTGGGACACACGCACACACGCATAGAAAACCCAGGTATCTGGGACATGCATACATGCATGTGCGTGCGCACACGCACAAATACATCCCAGGCATCCGGAACACACACACATACTTGGTGAGTGCAAGGTATGGTGGATGCGCATGTGCAGGATGGGTGACTGGTGGCTCATGGCCATGAAAGCGCATGTCATGATGAGCTTCGGCCATGATGTCCCTGCCAGGCAATCGGGGTGGCTTAGCTGTTTGGGTCTGCTCAGGAATCTTCAGCAGCCCAGGGAGCCCGCAGGCCACACTGGGAGGTATGCAACTCCCCCCCACCCCCCAACGTGTTGCATTTGGGCTTTGCAGGCAGGCTCCAAGCCCCCTCCCTCTTCTCCCCCCACCCAATGGCTAACATGTGTTCTGCTTCCTCCCCGCCTAACCTTGGGCACTTAGAATAAAGCTCAAAACTTATAGCGCTTCCACCTCAGCCTTCTTGAATGCCTGCATTTAGCCATCATTTGCTGTATTCCCCAGTCCAACGTAGCACTTAAGTATGGGTTTAACATTAAGCACATGATCAGGGTCATTGAAGAGATCGTTAAAATAAGGGTAATGATATCTATTCATTTCACAAGGTTGTTGTAAGTTTTAAATCATGACTTTTTTAAAGAGTTTTAGAATCCTCAGACAGAAAATATTATCAAATAACAGTGTGTATATCTTAATATTGTTTTGTTCCACTGCCATCTGTAAACATTTATATTGAGATTTTTCACATGATTTTCTTCAGAAGGTTCCTAATCAAACTCTATATGGTGTCTGAAATAAAACATTATATATAATAATATAAAGTACATCTTCACAGTAATTTTAATACCTAGTTCTTGGATGGCATAATACCTTTTAAGAAGGCATGAATACATAAACATTAAATGGATGCTCATCATATATTATCCATCTCTGTGACTGGATTATAGATTGCATTATATCTGTTTAGTATTCATTTCAAACATGTAAAGTTTTACAATAATAGATCAGCAGTGTTTTATTATTATGATGTTTCTATTATGCTGATTTGTGACTGAGATTTTATAAAATAATATGTGTAATTTCTTAATATAAAAAATTGGAAAAAATGTAACTGCCTCTATTTCTTGATGGCACATTTACATAGCTTACAGTTTCATAAAACAGGTTGTATGGAGCCAAAACATAGTTTTACATAACAATCATCCCAAGGATTTCCATGGGGAATTTTGTGGTATAGAACAGCTGCACATCCCTAATAGTTTTGCCACCTGTTCTACACATTTGGAAGTTCTATATTCTCAAACAATTATCCTGCTGAGACTTTGTTCACATTTCAAGGTCATGGATTCTTCTAATTATTTTCTTTGATGCTGTTTGTCATGAATAATACCTAGCTTTGAACTGCAACGGGTTACACACACACACACACACACACACACACACACACAC